TAATTAAGTCAATGTCCCGAAATTAGGAAATTTTTTTAACATAGCATCAATTCTTAATTATTAAAAATTATTTATACTTTAAAAAATATGAACTAATATTTATAATATTAAGTATATAAAATTTTGCAACATCACGTATTTCCTGTCCTGCGTAGGCTTTTTTATTCACCTTATTTCCTCAGCAGAGTAAAATTTCACCACAACTGCAAATAGTATTCACCATAATTCTTAGAATTTACAGCTTAAGAGTAAGTAAGAGAAAAGAGTAGAAAATATGTTTTGCATTCAAATGCTGATCACATCAGTTTAGTAGAAAATATAGTACAAACTTATACTATATATTATAATATATGATTATAAGTTCAAAGGAAAGCATGTGTGATTGTCAGATCCTTGTATTTGGAAACCGATATACTTGTACTAAATTACTTAAGATCCTACTAACAAGTAAGCACATAAATATATAAGAACGTGTGAACTTTGGCTTTCCGTATTAGGAAAACGACACACTAAGGTTTAATTGATTTAATATGATATATTAAACCAGTTGAACCTGTGGTCATGTTGTTAATTGTCATTGAAACACTTTGTTGATGATATCTTGTTAGAAACTTGATGATAAAATATAACATAATATTTAATATTTATTATAATAATATAACATGAAATGTAATATGTTTTCCAGCTGAAAGTAATCAAATATATTTAGTTTTTACTATACACTAGACAAGTCTTTTGTTCTAAATTTTTTTCCTCAAATAAAATCTTCAAAACCTATGTTGTATTATATATATAAAATAGTTAACTTCATATTATTATAATGTATGTAAAATAATATGTAATGATTGTGTCTACATTACTGACTATAGGTGGTATGTGTTATATTATGAAGAGTTACTGCTCTTAATTGTGCATTTTTTGAGATCATAGTATGTATAAAACTGTTATATGGATCAATCCTACAGTTTTACAAATTTTAAACTTTTTTCAAAGGTATTAAGGGTAAAATTTATAGTTTTCTAATAAAAGTTCTTTGGGAATTGTAAGGATTTAGTATTATAACTACACGTGATTCACGCCTTTTTGTTGCGCTTTACACTTTTGCACTCAACGAAACTTATAATACCTCCACTCATATTTATACGAGGGATGACAGCTAATTTACTTTTTGGTCTTTAAGAGGTGATAAGGGACGCTAGCTCTGAAGCTATATGTGAAAACCGATAGGCTGCCCTACTTAGCTGCCCTACCTACTTAACTATCTAATCTCAGAATAATCACTAACCGCACGGGGCGGTACGCAAATCTTAGATCAATCATTGAATAATAATGAAGATTATGAAAAATACTCAAATTAGTCTGTGAGATGGCCGGGGCTCTGCCCAGATGCTCTAACTCGAAAAAGGCTTAACATAATAATAATAATAAAAGAACTCAAGTTTGATTATTGCTATATCGGAGAATATATAAAAAATTTTATTAAAACATTAATTATTATATCTTGAAATATATTTAATAAATAATAATTACTAGAACATAATATATCATAATAATAATAATAATAATAATAATTAAAATTAATTAAAATATATTAAATGAAACGGAAATAACTTTAGATCTTTTATAGAGCAATAAGTCGAAATAATAAATGATAATAACAATAACATAAATTTAATTAAAACAAAAGTATATAAGAAATTAGCTTACTGAAGTATAGCAAAAACACTAAAAACAGATTTACTTAAAAAAATATTAATAAGTATAAATAAGTATTTATATTTTCTTGAAAATTATTTACTAGCTTTTAGAAACCAACGTTGTTTTAAAGATAAAATAAGTACACTAATTTTTATTTATTATTTTTTCTTTAACTTTAAAGCTTATCTATATATTTATATATATTTAGTAGTTTTAATAAGGATTACCATAATAGCGTGTGAATGCCATTATGAATACGAAGTTGTTAAACTAGACATTCCTCGCACATTATCATTTACACTCATATACTTCTTAAGAATAATATGAAGAGTAAATGAAGAGCACAACTTCACTTTTGACCACGGTATAAGTTATTCACCACTCGAGAGAGCAAACTGTATAAAAGGCCGGACATTTGGTGTAGAATTTATGTCTTTTCTGAGCTTTCATTAAAGCTGTAGCTGTGCGGGTTGAAACCAGTTAGCTGAAACCGTGTGTTCTTGTCTTTCGAAGAGTGTTTAATCAGATTTTTTGTGGTTCGAGAATTGATAAGTTTTTGTGTTGTTGTGCCGGAAAAGTGTTTATAGTAAACACTTGAAAATCTTATTCGTTCGTACATTAAACTTGAAAAAAAAGGTAAGCTTTTTAAGAACTTGAAAAAAGTGTGAGATTTATTTTAGTTTCTATGAACATAAATTTACGACATTAAAAAGTGTTCGTGATGTAATCAATTGTATTGATAAAGAAATTTATTTTTTGTTTAATTTTTTTTTTGCGATTATCGTCATTTTAAATTATTTAATTTCGGAAAGTTCTTTTTTTTAAATGCAACATATAAAGAAAAGCTATTTGAGATACTTTTACTTAGACGGTGCTGCACTCTCGACGAAGAAAGGTAGATCCTTCCTTATATAAGATGGAATAAATTACTAAAATATATATTAAATGAATTTTATTTTAATATAAATGGAGTAATAGTTTAAAAAAAAAATATTTTTGTGATTTAAAAAAAATTTTTAATAAAATTATAGTGCAATTTTAAATTGATTTTTAAAAAATTTAAAAATAATTTTGTTGAAAATATATAATAAAGGAACTATGTGATTTTGTTTAATATTGGAGAGAAGTATACAGTTAATTTTCTTTAAAATACAAAATAAAGTGAATTTTAAAATTATTATTTAATTTTTTTGTAAATATATTTAAAAAAAAATTTTGTCTGGATATAAATTTAAAAAAAAAGTGAAATCTTTTCTGAGAAGTTACACAAAATATTATGAGGAATCATTTACATAATGATTATGAAATAATAGAAAATTGTTCAAAATTTAATTTTTTTAACAAATTTATTATTAATTAATTCCATAAATAAAAATAATAAATTTGTTTTTATAGATTTCATGATTTATATTTATTCACAATTTGATTTCTAAGTTGACAACTTTTTAAGTTGCAACAATTTTATAAAGAATACTTAAAACATTTATTATATAAATATTTATAAACTAAATAATAGTACTAGCATGAAATATAATTCTATAAAATTTTGCGTTAATAAAAAATGGAAAGGACTTACACAGTATATTAAATAATTTCTTTTTTATATTGGAATGATCATCTAAAAATTCTATAATTGTCTTCAATTGTATCAAAAATGATTTAAAAATGTTAAAACTTAAAAAAAGAAAAAAAGACTTTACAAATGCTTCTGATTACTGTTTGTAGTTAAAAGAAACGAACTATATCAATTGATATTACATCTCCGATACAAATTGTATCTTGATTATATCTTGATTAATTTATGAAATTATCTGTTCTTGTTTCTAAAATAGATATACTTGATCTAAAAGAATTCGCCTTGCCCAAAATAATTGCTGTTTTAACAGAACAATGCTTTATGACCCGATTAATAAGGGCTCCATCCAACAACTGCAAGTCGAAAAACGAAACTAATAATTTAACTTGTCTTTACTGTCATCTTGATATGATACTGTCATCAGCCAACGCTTATTAAAGCTGTTTTATCTACTCTACATTCTCCTTTTGTTAAGTGTCTACCTGATATAGATATTGTAGACATTGTACTCTTTATTAAAACGGTACCATAGTTGATACAGAATAAGGGCAACTCCAGCATACATCAAGAAATTTCTTTTATATGGCAATGTGTCTACTTTTTCGGGCCTAAGTACGAAGGTTGATCTATATCAACTTTAAAGCACTTGTGATTCTGGTTAAGTGTTATTTAATAGACTTAAATATTAATAGAAAATTCATGTCAGGAGGACATATTATAAACAACCAACGTTTTTTAATATCATTCCATTTTTAGCAGGAAGTAGAGAGTTCACTAGCATCATGCAACCACTTAACAGATCTTATTGGTCTAAATGGATTTAATTTGTGTTTAGTTATATCCTTTAAAAATAAATTCAAAATTAAAAACTTTATAAATGGTTTAACTATGGTTTAGTTAAAAGTTTTTTTAAGATTGCGTGGAAGAAAAGTTACAGGAGATCGATTTGTGGGCTGAGGCCATAATAAACAAAATAATAATGAGGATAAAGATACTATAAGAAAGGCGAAATGTACTCCCACACATCATACTAAACAATGTAGCAGTTAGTAGAAAGTCAGCTAGAATCCTACAATCGCAGAATGAATCCTAGTGGCCTTAATAAAGTGAATTTGTCACTAATAGTATTCACCTAACATAATTTTGTTTAGAATTTTTAGTACTATAATTATTAAACAACTTAAATTATTGAGATATTAAAATTATTAAATTATTACAATTATTAAATTATGATGATGATTAATTTCGAATTATTAATGTAGAAACAAGTCCAGCTAGGACCTGTTTCCCAATTTTAAACGTAACCATCTATTCTTTCGATTTGAGCAATTATCCTTTATGATTAATATAATATTAACTCTACTTACGGTAAGAATGAAAAACAAGCTGCCTTACTTCCATTCTAACACAACAATTCATCTGTAGTCCTTGACCCAGAAACCTACTAAACAAACTCACCTCTCAACGAAATGCCTGCATTCCCACTTGTTTGCGACAAATTCCAAATCAAATTAAATAAAATAATTTAACAAAATAAATGTGTTGGTCTCCAATTGCCAAGAAAAATCCAACGATTAACTAAAAATAGTTCCGATAT